CCATTGATGATGTGTTTCCCATGTCTAACCATCAGTTGTGCTCATGGCATGTGTCAAGGAATGCACAGAATAACTTGAAGGATGATGAATTGCTAAGAAATTTTCAGGTATAAATTTGGGAACCATTTGCGTTGGATGAGTTTGAGAAGAAATGGGAGGTTTTGAAGGAAAGAGCGAGTACTCCGAAACAAAAAGAATGGTTGGAAATGATGTATGAAAAAAGAGACTCATGGGCTGAATCATGTATGAGAGGAAAGTTTTTCGGTGGTATGTGCACCACTCAACGTGTGGAGTCTATGAACAAGTATGTGAAAGATTACTTGAGGAAAGGCGTGAAGTTGTTTGAATGTATTCCAGCAATCGATAGGGCTATGTTACGTCTTAGGAATAACACGGCGAAGGATGGTTTCAACGCAAAGTACTCAACACCAGTCCTTAAAACCGCATTGACAAAACTAGAGCAACAAGCTTCTCTGATTTACACGCATAGGTGCTTTGTATTGGTACGTCATGAGATCGAATCTTGTTCAGCACTCACCCATGATAATGTGATGCATAATTTTGGAGGTCGTGTATACGTATTGTCCAAATATGGTGAACCGCATAATAATTGGACTTGTGTTTACCACGGTGGGGAAAATATGCAGATAGAGTGTGGAGCAATCGATAGGGCTATGTTACGTCTTAGGAATAACACGGCGAAGGATGGTTTCAACGCAAAGTACTCAACACCAGTCCTTAAAACCGCATTGACAAAACTAGAGCAACAAGCTTCTCTGATTTACACGCATAGGTGCTTTGTATTGGTACGTCATGAGATCGAATCTTGTTCAGCACTCACCCATGATAATGTGATGCATAATTTTGGAGGTCGTGTATACGTATTGTCCAAATATGGTGAACCGCATAATAATTGGACTTGTGTTTACCACGGTGGGGAAAATATGCGGATAGAGTGTGGATGCCGGAAATATGAAAGTGAAGGGATCCCGTGTTGCCACCTGTTTTATGTAATGAAGTGCGAGCACCTTACGGAAATTCCTCCAGCACTCATAATGAAGAGATGGACAAAGAGTGCCTAAACTGATACATGTATGGAATTTATCGGCAAAGGTAAAGACACTACCAACGAAGTTGTAGAAATGGCGAGGTATGGAAGTTTAAATGCTATGTCAAACAAAGTTTGTTTTTATGCATCGAAGAGTGCAGAGGGTTATGCCATGTTGATGAATGAGTTTAGTAGATGGGAGGGAATTTGTGAAGGCTTACGGCAAAAGGAAGAAGAGGCAAGTCTGAAATTGGGTACTGCTGACCAATGTCTTACAAATATTGTGAAAGATCCAAATATTGTTAAGACAAAAGGTACTCAAGCAAGGCAAGGTGGAATGCGCAAGCATCGACAATGTCATTTGTGTCGCGGATATGGACATATAAAG